TGACAGGTCATAGTGACAGAACACGTGACTGCTTTACATGTCCACAGTTGTGAGTGTGACAGGTCATAGTGACAGAACATGTACCTGCTTTACATGTCCACAGCTGTGAGTGTGACAGGTCATAGTGACAGAACATGACTGCTTTACATGTCCACAGCTGTGAGTGTGACAGAACATGTGACTGCTTTACATGTCCACAGCTGTGAGTGTGACAGGTCATAGTGACAGAACATGACTGCTTTACATGTCCACAGCTGTGAGTGTGACAGGTCATAGTGACAGAACATGTAACTGCTTTACATGTCCACAGTTGTGAGTGTGACAGGTCATAGTGACAGAACATGACTGCTCTACATGTCCACAGCTGTGAGTGTGACAGGTCATAGTGACAGAACATGTGACTGCTTTACATGTCCACAGCTGTGAGTGTGACAGGTCATAGTGACAGAACATGTGACTGCTTTACATGTCCACAACTGTGAGTGTGACAGGTCATTGTGACTGAACATGTACCATAATTTTAAACTTGGTACTCTACTTTTTCCCATACAGATACCACATTGTTGCTAATTGAACTGACCTGCCCTCTTGTGATAAGAAACACAGAACCGTTAGTTTCAATTATTCAAAGTTTTGACACCTTTTGTTTTATTATGTTTTAATATCAGAGTGAATAATTTTCTAGTTTTCAGTCCTGCCCTCTTGTGATAAGAAACACAGAACCGTTAGTTTCAATTATTCAAAGTTTTGACACCTTTTGTTTTATTATGTTTTAATATCAGAGTGAATAATTTTCTAGTTTTCAGTCCAAGATTATATACTTTCCATGCTACCAAACAATATCTTTAATGACTTTATTTCCCATGTCGTGGCAGAAACCATAGTAAGAACATGAATCTATGTTACGTGTTTTTCTGACCAATGAAATCACAGGAAGTAGGCACTGATACACTAGTGAAATATCAACGGAAAATTCGTGGTACAGTACTGTATTTGAAATCAACTGAAGATACCCTGGAAAACTGTAATATACATTTCCAGCTGGGTTATTCTCAGATCTTAGTGTATTTTGAGTTTCTTTTTTACAATTTAATGGACAAAAACAATTAATTTCTGAAATAGTAATGGCAAAAATGAACAAAGATGTTGAGATGGAGTCTTATGGTACTGACATGACATACTACTTCAAGTTACTGTATCAAAACACAATACATTTTTTAAACTTCACAGAATCATCTGAGAATTTCAATCTTTAAGTTAATATCAAAGAACAATATAAATTGATAGGTTTAACTCGAGTATTACGGTTTACAACAGTAATTAATATTTGAAGAATTTCTCATTAAAAAAGTATATATGAAAGTTCTTACTGCAAACGTATCACGCTGATCATCTGAATTTACAATCTCTATATCATCTTCAACGGGATCTAATAAAGGTCCTTCTTCTGACATCATAAGAGAGCTCTGGAAAATTGACAAATGCCAATGAATGAATGTTCATGTGTTTTAAACTAACATGAAAAAATGTGGTGAGATCATTTTAAAATATCTTCGGATGAATAACTGAAGCAAAACATATAACTCTAAAAAAATATAAATACCAAACTAGATTATTTATTACAGCAAATTATACATTATTTAAAAATATAAACAAACAAACAAAAAAAACTCCACCAAACGGTCAATGTAGTTAAAGATATTCAATATTATATACTGAAAAAGAAAAACAGAAACCTTATGGAAGTAGTTTAAAACTAGACTGAGTTGTAATTAAAACATTATACAGATAAAAACAAAGTCCCAACACGACAGTATACACATATGAATGAAGCTACACTTTACCCAAAATTATAGATTTCAATAAAAAATAAGGAATATCAAATGTACAGAATGAAATGATTCGAATGTGAAAGTGAGTAATAAGAGAGAAATGCTCCTCAAATAATACGTTTACTGAATGGATCGAACACCACATTTTAGCATTAAGTGTATAAACTTAGTTCACATTACTTGGAGGGGGGGGATATGGTAGATAGATTTATGAATAGCATATATACAGAAAGTTTAATAAACATATACATATCTGTGTGAACATATTAAAACGCATGCATAAGAAGCGAACCTTTTTCGTAAAGCTTTTGTTAAAAATATTATTGTTACAAAAAACATATCATGTACATAATCTATGTAAAAGGATTTATTGTATTTTTGTTACCTAAGGGAATATTAAAGTAGGTTTATAACTAGAGGGTTTAGGAAAGGCTATTTAATCACCAATTCTTGAAACAGTAGATATTTCCAGGAACTTTTATTGACTTGTTATAATATGTGCAGAACAGTATACAGAAGAACTGGTTTTAAACAGTTTGACAAACAACCACAACTGTATGGATGGTTTTATTTTTTTAGATAACGTGCAAGATCTGAAGGTGCATGTTCAAGTGAGATAGATTTATTAACTCGTAACAGGAAGAGCATGTTGTAGGAATCCATACTGTATATTTATATTCACGAAATAAAATAACGACCTCTATCTTCAGAACATATCTTTATTAGCTCAATACAGCTTTGTCAGTAGCTGTCAATAACTTAAAAGTTTGCTAATTGAGTTGAAGTTATCAGGTAAGTTATATAACGTAACAAGCACACAGTTTAAACCTTTTTACAAGAGCCAAGTGTCCAAATATCTTCTGAAGTTTTTATGAGAACGCAATGTGAGAACAAGCAGAAATAACCTGTGCCTCTACTAATAACCAACAAACTTTCTAACCAGCAAAGAATAAATTTGAGTTTGGTAACAAGAGCAAGTATAAACTAAAGTTTATCTTATACACAACAAAGTGCAGGAAAGAAAAATCAAACAAACTTACTCTTTCTTCAATATAAAAATGAACACCATAATTAGGGTTTGTGTTATGCACCTGAAAAAGACTGCTAATCTCCTTGTACACTTCCTGAAGTCGCTCAATAGGATCAATTTTGAACCCAAGAACATACCCACCACTCTGGAAAATTAAATAGCACTTAGTAAATCAACAATTAATCAACGAAATCAAATAAATCTTAATAATTTTTTGCATAACTTTAAATTAATTGATATTTATGGGAAATCCAATATGTGCTACAAATCTTTAACCTTCACAACTATTTCATACTATGTTATTACATGTAAGTATTTAAAGTTCCACTTTTTTTTTGACACTGTGATTCTTGATATGACAATAAAATAATAGTCTTTATACATATATGGTGGAACTTCTCCATGAAAACATTACACATTTCAAATAACTAAATATTCATCAACAACCAAAATGACTAAGCTCTTTACGACTGCTTACGTTCATTTATATTACAGAGAGTTGAGTATGTTATATTAAACCAATTTTGGGAACCTCACCACATCATTACAGTCCATGTTGACACATCTCATCACACTTTATCTAATGACTGTGTATCTTGACAATAGTTCTGAAGCTACTTTCTGTTGTTAAAGGCTCTGTCACGAGACTGTCATGTCCAAAGTATACCACTCCTCCCTGAATTCTTTCAATAATAAACTTAAAGTACAAGGATGATAGTTTTCAAGTGAATGATTTAGTAGTCCAATTGCAAAGAAATCCAGATGTGCTACATCTGTCGACTTGACCAGTGTCTTAGTGAATGAATACTCATTTCATTATCCAGCTGTATGAGGTATGCAACAGTTGAATGGGAGGCTTAACAAAATACTTATCTCGGTGAACCCGTATCCTGTTTATTGAATTTTCTGTACAAAACCAGTGTTTCTGTGTGGTATAAAGGGTCAAGAAAATTTTGGTCTGATAGTAAACAGAGTTCACCTTGACCTTTGTATCCACTCTCCTGATCTCTAACTTGCCCTTGGCACAGCATCTGACAATGATCATGAATTATTTGCAAAAGTTTCATGACATGTTGTCTACCACTTCTGGAAATGTTTTTCACCCACTGACCAGTACAAAAAGCCCAATAGACTTGTTATACTTATTCAAGTACACACACTCTTTGTCAAGTATCACCATTACTGCTATTTTTTTCTGGCTAGGTACTGTTCATACAGTATTTTATTGTTGATTTTCATTTCCTGGCTATATTGTGGAAGAAACTTGTGTTGTTTTTACTAAGATACTTTTTGATGATGTTGTATACTGTTGCCTGGGACACATGGAGCTTCTGTCAATGACCTTTGTGTTCATGGATTCTCACCTGTAACCAATGCTGCACTTTGCTTAAAAAAGTGGTATATGGTATATGCCTTGTTGCAGATCTTATTTTGGATGGTAATGGTGTCCCACATTGATCCATATTCTTTTTTTTCACTGCCATTAAGTACAAGGGATATCCCCATCTTAGAAATTCTGATCTGAACAAATCTTTATGACCTGAGTGCATCAATATTTTGCATTGGAAAGGGATAATACATTCTCTTCTGAAAAGTGACAAGTTTTTGGAGGCATCACACTTCCTACAAAAATGCCAAACAATGTCTAAATGTGGTTCTGATACATTTTGTTTTATCACAAGTTATATCAGCTGTAGTTGTCCTATTACTTGCTTATTTATACAAGTTCAAAATCATTTTAATATAAAATACTCAACCCTCTGTATATAAGGGGGAAAATTACTCAAAATTTTATCTTCAACTAATTTCTACTTGGATTATAAACAAGAGAAAGTTACAGAAACTGTTAATGACAACTAATCATAAATTAGATTATGTTTGTTTTAGTTTAGAAGAAAGCCACAATAGGTTATCTGCTGTGTTCACTACAGGGAATCTAACCTCAGGGGGGGGGGGGGGTCAATTCAATTATGGATATCAAAAAATATAAAAAAATTAACTTAAAACAACAAATAATCCTCAATTGGATAACAAATGAGAGAAAGCTAGATAAACTAAAAAAATAAGTAATTATAATTTTCATTGTGTAAAACAGAAAATTATAAAAAAAAGCTTCCAACAACAAATAATTCTCATCTGGACTACAAATAAGAGAAAGATAAACTGCTACAAATAAATAATTATCACTTGGATAATGAACATGACAAGGAAACTTCTTCAGAGAAAGAATTACCATTTGGATCATGAGCAAGAATTACCATTTAGATCATGAGCAAGAATTACCATTTGTATCACGAGCAAGAATTATCATTTGGATCATGAGCAAGAATTACCATTTGTATCACGAGCAAGAATTACCATTTGGATCACGAGCAAGAATTATCATTTGTATCATGAGCAAGAATTACCATTTGGATCATGAGCAAGAATTACCATTTGGATCACGAGCAAGAATTACCATTTGGATCATGAGCAAGAGTAAAATAAATTCCTGCAAACAATAATCATCATTTACGTAACAAACGAGAGTAGACTATAAAAAACTTTTAAAAAATAACTAATCATTGCTTGGTTTATAAATGAGAGTTAGAAACTTTGCAATACCACTTCATATAGTGAATTAAAATAAAAAGAACTCTAAGACATATCATAATTATGTTAATGCAAAGATAATAACTGCTACAGCATCATGACAATAAAACTAATTATTGTTTTACTTGCTTGATGAAGCTTCAATACGTGAATATTAATATCAGTTTTATATAATAAATCACTGGCACCATCGTTTTTAACACCATACTTGAAGTACGTAATAAACGCTTAAAAATTCGAGGCAATTATACAAAAAAAAAATTAACACACGAAGCTGCTACACTTGTTTAACTACAGTATAATACTTAACGTATCAACAGTGAGAGAACCAGAGGTACAAGTTTTGTTTTATTGTAGTTTTTACAACAACTATGGAACATTTTAGTTGGTTACTAGCTAAGATTTGGCATGCACAAAGAAGCCATGTACTCTATTAGACAAAACTTCACAGTAAAACAAACAACCATTTATTCTACTGAAAAAGCTGATATAATTACAAAATATTTCTCTTACTAATTCTGTACTCTCCACAACAAGTGCCATTCCAAACTTGGAATCTCTCATCTTCACACAAGCCTAAAACATAAAAAAACAAAACAACAAGCAAATATACAGAACTTCTAACAAGTCAATGAAGCCTTTTTATAATTAAGTATGTAAATAAAAGCAGTACAATTCGTAATGGTTAACGAATACAAAACTTTACACAAGGTTAAGTTTTATTATGAATATGCTTACTCCGATTAACTCACACATTTTTCTGCTACATAAGTGCTGAAAAAATATCATTCACCCGTGTGGTGAGCACTTCAAACAGAATGGTTCCGTTGCAAAAATGTTGTTCCAAAGTAGAAAAATATAGTTATAGCACCAAATAATGTGTCTAGATTATTAAAAAATAAATTTTTGATAAAACTTTGTTTGTTTGTAGTTAAACACAAAGCTACACAATAGGCTCTCTGTGAAGTGCCCAACACAGGTATCATAACATGGTTTTTAGGATTATAAGCCTCATGACTTATCACTGAACCTCTGGGGGGCATTTGATAAAGCAAAAACAAGGATGAGAACTAAAAAATTAAGAACATTTAGAGAAAAATGTGTTTAATTCAGAAAATAGTGAAATCAAGCAAATAATATAAGAGAAACTAGCATAGAGCCCATCAAAAATAATGGGACAAGTATTATCACCCCCACCCCCATAGCATACCCTAACCTCACATTTCATAGCTAACTGAA